TAGTTTCATTTTTATAAGTTTTATTTTTTAAATATTTATCATACTATTTTTGTTTTTTCCTTGATGATTTTAGTAGGCCTTTGGTCATCCATAGGGATACAACCGACTTTGAGTTTATTACTTTTACTTTTAAAGGAAATGCCTTATCATACATTTTAAAAATCATAAGCATTATTGAGGCAGCCAATCCATCACCGATAGGTGGTTGTCTTGAAACCACTGCTTGACTACTTTTGTAGTGTGTTTTGGATCGTTGTCTTGCTGAAAAACCTATTTTATTGGCATATTCTATTCAGCATGAGGTAACATAACATCTTTCAGGATATTTTTATACATAAAACGGTCCATTATTCCATCGATTTGATGTATTGGACCTAGAACGTTAGCAGAAAAACACCCCCAGACAATTACATTGCCTCCACCATGCTTCATGGTCTTATGGCAGTAACGTAAATCTAGGCATTTTCCGGCCGGTTGACGTACACGGCAAATGCCATCGCTCCCAATGATGTTGAACTTCAATTCATCACTGAACATGACAGTTTGCCATTTTTGTACATTCCAGTCAATATGAGATGTAGCAAACAGGAGTCTTTTTTTCTGGTTCTTTAGTGAAATCAGCGGTTTCTTTGCAGGGCGTCGAGAAAACAATCCGGCTTCAACAGCACGTCGTCTGATTGTTCAGTCCGATACAAGCAGCTCTAATTGCTTTTGTATCTCGACTGATGATATCCAGGGATCCTTCTTGACGGATCTGACGATCATAGAATCCTCTCTAGAAGTGATGGAACGCGGTCTTCCACCTTAGTTATCTGTTGCCACTTCCCCGTAGAACAATATTTGGAGCATAGTCTTTGATACGGTCCATTTTTTTCACGCAATATTTATCACAAATACTTTTATGTGACATTCCACTTACATAATCGCCAATAATTTTCTTTCTTAGTTCCAATCCAAGACTGTCGGGGGCCATTTTTGCACTTGAAGTCATAAAAATAATAAAAATAAATAATCACGCTTCTCAAGGCTTACCGTGTTACATTTACCTTGTGATGATACAATAATGCCCTGTAGAACACGTCTTGGTTGGATGTGGACTGTATTGATGTAATGAAACACTTGTTGTATTTCACTTCTTGTATTGATGTTCTTCGATAAAACACTTTGATAAAACTCACTTCGATAAACTCTCTTGATAATAGTGACTGATTGACTTCCATATACTGACTGAGTTACATGTCGGTTTACATGTCTCTTATATAGTAAAATGAATCTGTGTGAACCTGTTCTTGAAGATTCTAGATGCTTCTTTTCGATGCTTCTGGAAGCTTTTGAATGCGTCTGGATGCTTCTGAATGTTTCTGAATGTTTCTGGAAACTTCTGAAGCTTCTGCATGCTTCTGAAAACTTCTGGTTACTTCCTTTAATTATTAAAAAACTTCCGTGACGTTGACCAAACTTAAGAAAATGAAACAAACCAAAAAGGTTGTACTTGTTTTGTCCGCTGCAAAATGTCACTTGTCAACAAAATTCTGCCTGTGTGCTGTCACCTGTCAGCTGATTGCTCATGTCATGGCATGCTATGGCATGCTATGACTCCAGACTCCTGCACTGTTTGCTGTGGTAGTATAGTTTTTTTCGTTTTTAAGACATGTAAAATTAGGAACACTTTTTAGCATTGTTTGATGTTGGTTGCAAATGTTTTGTCCAATACTGTACATCTTTATTTCAATGAAATATTGAAAAAGGTCACGCACAAACCAAATTGAAATGATTACAATTTAAAAATTTTTTTTAACAATGTTTATATATAATATAAGTCATTAAACCAACTTTATAATATTATTATTGAGACAGGCTTGTACCATGGGGAGTCGTTGAGTGAAATCGACCTCCCTTTTTAAAATTTAATCGTCTTTGTTTCACGCAAGTTTTGTTATAAAAATCCACCACTAAAGAATGGAGAGAAAGAGTTAGTAATTGTTTTTAAGCTTTCCACATGTGCGCAATTATAAAATTATTATGCAAAATTAGCAAAAATAGTGCTTTCCACATGTGTGCAATTATAAAATTATAATGCAAAATTAGCGAAACCTTTAAAAGACTATTAGCGCTGCAGAAAGAAACAAAATTTTAATGCTTTGAAAGAACTGAAAGTTAAAAACATTAAAAAGGTTAAAAGAAAATGGTTCTGCAACTTGAGAGCAAAGATCAAAGATCAAAAGAGAGCAAAGGTTGTTCCACTGGCAAACATGCTAGTGTCAAGACCATCCACTCTTTCAAGCAAAAGAAGGTAATCAAAGCGACATTGTCCACAGTTACCAGCTTGGCGCCACCTGATTGATCTGAAAATAGTACGGACTGCGACTCATCCGAAAACAGTAAAGACACTTCTAGGAATAATAAAATCACAGCATTAACGAGCAAAAGAAAGCATCACCCAACACGCAGTGCATGACGCATTGTTACAATCTCGAAGCTCTCTTCCTACGGAGCAGCAAAGGTGTGCCGCCAGCTTTTTGGTGAATGCAGTGAAATCCCACCCCGTGCCACTCAGCAATATATAAAGCAATATATATATAAGAGCTGCTCAAGTAAAGAAACACTTTGTGAGTATGCTTCAACTGGAGAAAGGAGCATACACTTTGACGGCAAACAAATTGATGGTTTTGAATATCAGGCAATGATCCTCAAGAAAGCAAAAGAAATTAATTTGACTGAGCTCAGCCTGAAAAATTGGAAAATCAAACAATCAAAGAAAGACTTCGCGATGTGCTTGAGAAGTTCAACCTGTGGGGATCAATCGTAATGATTGTTGCCGATACGTTATTGTTCGGTTGCAACAAATGTCCGAAGAGAAAGGTTTATCCAAACCCAATTTCATTAGTTGCCAACACCATGTGCTGGATTGCATTCTTCGTGTTGTCATGGACGGAGAGCTCAATGGATTAGCTAAATCATCACACATTGAGTACTTTTTTGTAAAAGATTTGATGAGCAAGTATGATAAATTGAAACCTTCGACAACGGTAAAAATGAGATTAAGGAAACAGGCGACTGGATAGACAACATGAAGTTTCTTTATCATCTCACTCCTGAGATGAATAAGATACCCTTTGTAAAGTTTCAACAGATTTCAAACACTAGTAGCGCACGCTGGAACTCTTAAGTCATTCTAGCCCTCCTTACGTTTATTTTGAAACCTATAACAGGATGCTTGAATCCCATAACAAACTGCGTAAAATTTGTTCATTCGTTTCCAACTCTTAGGCCGACCATTGGTTTAGCAGTCAATTGTTACGCGCTGAAGATTTTGATGAACTATCTGCAGTACTAAATGACTATCCAAAAGGTCTCAGGTGCTTGCAAAACCAATAGAAAACATACGAATTTCCAATCAACATTGCTCAAAGCAACGTGAGCGTGCGATCAAAGTTTTGCAAACCTGCATGACTCCCGCCGCAACAAACCTGCATGACTCCCGCCGCAACAAACCTGCATGACTCCCGCCGCAACAAAGACAACCTCTCACTAAGATTCATCTTGTCCAATGTTTTTGTGGAAGTCAATTATTGTAAATAATTGACTTCTTTGTGTAATTGATGACCTTATGTAGCAAAAATTTCACTCTGAAGCTTGTGTTCAATTTGTAACGGCTTAAAGCGACCTCGAAAATTAGGCAAAAAAGCTAATAAATAAAATTTTAAAATCATTTTGTGCGTATTTTTATCAAATCAGCTTAAAAGTAAGATTTTATCTAATCTTTGATGAAAGCTCATTATCACACAGCGAAAAAAGGTTGTAAAAAAGTCATTACCTTAACATATATATATATATATATATATATATATATATATATATATATATAAAACTTTGAGAAAGCGAAAGCTTCATAACGATAGTTTAAATTGCCATGTACCTTGCTTATTTTAAAATAGGGCTGCACTATATATTTGATATAATATATAAGAAAAATAAACTCTTTATAACTTAAAGAATAAAAAGTTTTTAATGAATCTATTTAGGAATGCGTCTTGTTATTAGTCTTCATTGTATTTTTATGATGAAAGATTTTTTACGAGCAATATATTTCATGAACAGGTATTTAAAATTCGGTAGATAATTTAAAGTTCAGAGATTTTGTTTCTGAAAAACTATCACGAAGTTACAAAATCCTTAAGTCAAAGCTTCAGATAACATTGGTACCAAACTATATCGCTGGCTTGTAAGTATGTTTCAATCATATCCGTGTTTCTTAAACTGACAATTTTTTACAAACTCGTTTTAAAGAATAAGGTATTTGGAATACCAACGTTTCACGTCATCTTATTTTCATATGTGTTCTATTATATTGAAAAAAAAAAAAAAAAAAAAACATTTTTTCAGTTATGGATACTTATTACGTTTACTTGAAAATGAATTGAAAAAATTTTGTTGCTCCAAAATAGTATCGAATATAAAATTCTCTGCGTCTGTTCAGAAGATGTGTAGAATCTCGTTTAACGGAACGCTTGTGCGCATTCATTGAGTGTTATTTTAATTCAAAATGGTGGAAAGGTAAATATAAATTTTTGAATTTGTTTACTTTAATATTCTGCTTTATTTTTTAATAAGAAATCAATAAGAGCAGTATTTATTTGTTTATTTATATTTTTAATTAACGCTTTTTAATATTTTTAATTTATTTATATTTTTAATTAACGCTTTTAGTTTTACATAAATAATTCAGCACTGCACATAAAACGTTAACATGTTTTGTTATTATTGCGTTTTTTTATTTGTAAATTTTTAAATGGTAGGGGATTGAAACTGAAATACTCTCTTGTTTCAATTCTTTATCATTATTACACAATTTATATTCTTTATTTGAATTGTATTAATTAAATTATTTCAAAAAACAAAAACAAAATGTTTTTTAAATCTCTCTAAAAATTGCTTGTCTAACATTCTTTAACTTCTTATTTTTATTTACTTATTTTTTATTCTTAAAATTATTACAGCATTTCTTAACATTATTTTGAATTCTTCAAATTTGATCTGGTATAAAAGAAAAATGACGGAAAGCTAAGCAATTGTATTGTAAAGAAATTCGAGGTTTCTATTATTTGAGGTTAGAAGTATTTAAAATCAATTGGTATTGCTCATAACATTTTTTCACCTTCCTTTTTTCTCAGCTCCAATTTTTTTCGATAATATAATGCATACAGTTTAAAATGCACAATACTACACTTCAAATAACAATAATGTAATGCACTGACAGGGCCGCCCCGATGAGATCTTACATGGAGGAGGCGGTGACGTATCTGTTTTTGCCAACTAAAGGTTCAAATTTGTCGACTACAGCTAAAATTTGCCGACATTTTTTTTTTTAATTTCAAACAATTTTTTTTTCTCTGAATTTTGGTATCAATCGATTATAGCATAAGCGTGGTGGTAACAAGTTAAACAAACCCGGTTTGTGTAATATTCACTTTAAATTGATAATAACTAAGTGTCCGTACTATAGTTTGAAATAAATTTATAAGATTAGTTTAAATAATTTATTTATTTTATATTTATATTTGAATTTATTATTTAAAACCGTTTGACGCATTGATGATCAACCATTGTATGAGACTATTATTTATATTTCAGACAATTGTCGCAACTTCCACTAACAAAATTTGAGGAGAGAATTGCTCCGGAAACGTTTTTTGAATCGAAACAAGTGTTTATGAAGATCAATGGTTTTAAAATGGAAATACCAACTTGCTTTATTTGTTGGCAATAATGATTTTATCAAATGACAAAGTTTTTATATTATGTCAATTAATTAAGATTATTAATTACTTTTAAATTTAAAGGAATAAGACAACAAGAATATAAATAGCTTTAACAGTGCTTGCCTTATGCATGATTTTTAGTGTATAATGGAAGAGAGATTTAGAACGACACTTCTACAATATTTTAATCAGGTTCGTCATTTATTTTCTGCCTTAATTTAATAAGGTTTGTCGACTTCTAGATCATATTTGGTAAAAGGTTTTTTTTTTAAAAAAATTCAAGGTGCTAAAGATTTTTTTGAAAAATTGTTTAATAATTTAGGTTGATAAAGAAAAAAAAGGACTCACGGAAGACCTAAGAAAAATTAAAGAAGACTTTTTTCGCTATGAAGAAGAAAAAATTCGCTACAGATGCGAAAACTTACATAAAGATAAAGTTATACGCAAGTTAACTGAGAATGGCAAGCTGCTTGTTGCAGAAATTGAACGACTTAAGGCACAGAATAAACACTGTGATTCTGAACTCGTAAAAGTTATAGCGGAAAATAATGAACTGCGGAAGAAAATTTCTTTTGAAAATGACGCCATACCACATTTAGAGAATGAACTGCGCAATTTGGCAGAAGAGAATCAATACTTAAAATTACTATGTAAGTACATTATAAAAGATGACATTAAATTGCATAAAAAATGTTGCTTTTTAAAAAAACCGACACTTTTGTTATATCTTACTTTAGGCAAAGGGAATATGTAGACTTACAATATGTATGTATCATACAGATATGTAGTTTACAATAAGGTTGAAAAAATGTTAACAATAGCGAAAGCTTTCACGTGTTCTTTGACGCCATTTTGCTTTCCGATTCAATACGTTTGTCTTCTTTACACAAAAATCAAGTAGAAAAACTCATACTTCAAAACCACCAACCAATTATTTCCAAGACTCATTTAGTTTATTGTTAGTTTATTGTTTTGTTTTTAATGTATTTTTAGCTGACGACACAAAAGTAATGCAGCAGAAAGATGAAGAAATCCAGAAATTTTCTGCTCAAAGTGAGCATTACAAAAGCTTATGTGAGAAGTATCATCACGATTTGCATTTGCAAGCAGAAACTTTAAACAAACTGTCAACAGAAAATAGTTTGCTCAAGTCAGAATATAAATCTATTACAGCTGATAGAAGTAAGTTATACAACGAACTACAACAAAAACAAGTAACGTTGCAATCGGAGTGTTGTCGATTAGAAAAAGAACGTGCTGATTTTGAAAAAGAAAACTTCGAGCTTAGAAACGTTTTGAAAAAATTAGACCTTCACTTGGCTGAAAAACAAAAAAAAATCGAACAGCTTGAGTCGAACATAAGTACCGAGCATAAAATGTTTATTGAACAAACCATGTACACCAAGCAGATCGAAGAAAGCTTTAATCGTTTAAAACTCCAAAATGAAGCATCAGTAAAAGATAATGACTTGAAAACTAGGTAAATTATTTTCATTTAACTTAAATGGGGACCAACATTTTGTATTTAAAAAGTAATCAAAGTAATTATTAAATTAAATTATATATATTTAATATACTAATTATAATATTTAACATACTATATATACATAAACAACTTGATACTTAGAAATCTAACCAACGAAAATTCAAATTTGAAACAAGATCTGGAAACTGCTCGCCACGAGCTTCAAACACAGAGACTTACAACTGATAATCTTCTCTATGAAGATGGCTTAAAAAAAATGACCATTGAAAAATTAAATTGCAAGATAAAAGATCTTCTTAACAAAATTAACGAACAGATCAAACGCGAGTTCAGACTTCAACAAGAGATAAACGATAAACAAACAGACTTTGACTCTATTGTTAGTTCTAAGAATGCTCTTGAAATTAAAATAAAAGATTTAGAAACAGTATTAGAAAGAGAAAAAGACACGAATGGAAGATTAATTAATGAGACAAATCATGCTAAATCAAGATTAGAAAGATTAGAAAATGAAATATTAAGTCATACTCGCATAAAATGCGAACTAGAACAGGAACTCGACATAGCCTATAAAACCATTGAAACATTGCGTAAAAGTTGTGAATTAAGTGATGAACAAAGAAACAAAAGCAAAAAAGAAGCAGAACATCTGCGAGAACAAATAAGTACTTTGGAAAATGATATGATAGCGATGAAAATCCAGATGGAAGAATCAAAAACGCAATACACAAGTGTAGTTAAAAAATTTGAAAGTTGTGAAATGCAAAGAAATCGCTTGCAAAAAGAAATGATTATTTTACAAAAGAAGTTATGTGAAAGTGTTTCTATTTTGCACACTAACAATCAAGAAATTGTTTGCGAAATGCCTGATATGAAAAAAGAAACTACATTTAAAAATGAATGTGCAGTTCTAAATCTTGAAAAAGAAGCTGAAACTAGCGAGCTTCATTTAGTGCAAACATTCAATTGGAAGGATGAATCAGCTCATGATGTTGAAAATTATTATTTTCAAAAAACGAATCAAAAACTCTCTGGTGAATTGAAAACATTAACGAATTCAATTGATTCAATGAAGAATTTATTAAGTGAAAGAGACCAGCGAATTGATATTCTTTCAAATCAAAAGCGTCAGTGTGAAGTGCAATTCAATGTTGTTTTGGAAGAATTGAATGACTTGAAGAAATCTGTCAATCTTTACGAACAAAACATAACTCAACTAAATGAAGAAAAATTGCAACTCACAAAAGAAATACACAAAAATGGTGCTTTAATAAAAGATTTGAAATTGGAAGTGGAACAAAAAAATAATCTGTTTACTGAATTGAGCGAAACTCTAGCGCTAAAGAATAAGTTAGTAGACGAACTTGCCACCGAGGCAGCCCAAAAAGACAAAACTGTTAAGGAATTAGTCATCGAGGTAAGACAAAAAGACGATATTGTTAAAGATTTAATTAACGAGGTATCCCAAAAAGATAAGTTTGTAAAAGAATTAGGCAGCGAGTTAAATCAAAAAGAAAATTGTATTAATGATTTATTTGGTGAATTAGCTGAACAAGAAATATTAATAGCTGATTTACAAGAAAAAATCAACCAAAATAATCAAACGTTTGACGAAGATAAACGAAAGCAAGAATCTCAGGTTCTTGAGCTCCAAAGTAAGTTAGAACAAAAGGAGCTGATTGTTGATGAATTAGAAATATGCGTTGAAAAGCTCCAAAAAGAGTTCGAAAAACTTAACGAGAACCAAAATAAAAATCTTCTTATAGAGTTATATTCAGAGTTAGACGAAAAAAATCGTGAAATTTATGAATTAGAAGTCAATTGTAAAAACTTTAGAGACCTTGTTGATAGCCAACAAGAAAATATAGATAAATTAAACGTTTATATTCAATTGCAAAAAGAACGAAAAGTAGGCAAAGATAAAGAGGTAACAAAAGAACAAAGCACTGCTTCGTTGGATGTTACTAATTTATACAATACCTGCACAAACGATATAATAACTACAAGGAAACTACCTACAACAAATGTTTTAAGTGAACATCTTCATACTGATAGTATAAGCTCCAGTTTTGATATTTCTTCAGACACAAAAGACTTTTCAAATAAAAACGCGGTTTTAAATGTTCAGCGTGATACAGATTTCTTAAAGCAAACAACAAATGCAGTTATTGAATCAAAAACTAATGATAATATAAATGAGCAACTGAGTGAAGTTATTGTCTTTAAAAAAGAATATTTAGATGCATTAGAAGCGCTTAGGCAAAAAGATATCTTAATTCAAGAGCTTCGAGAGTCAATTCAAAATTTTGAAAAAGAAAATACTTTGAACGACTCGGGTAACTTTTTTGATAATACGAGTGATTCTAATACAATGGGAAGAAAAACAAAACCATTTTCTACATCTTCTGCACTAATGGAACTAAAACTTCCACAGCCTGGCTCCTTCTCCATTGTACAAAGTTCATCAGAAATGGAGAGTACTTCAAGAAATAGAACGGCATCACTGCCAACAACGCCAATCCCATTTAAACCACCACCCGCGCCTTCTTCAAATATAGCTGGAGCAATTACAATTTGGGCTGAAGAAAGAAGGAGGTTTGAATTAGAAAAAAAAGAACTGATGAACAAGTTTAATCAAGAAATACGATTAACCAAAGAGCGCAATCTGAAAGTTGAAGCCAGCGCAGAGGACCTAAGGACTGAAATAGTAAGGCTTAATTCTGAGGTTCTTGATAAAAAGATAGAAATAAGAAAGTTAGAAGATGACTTGAAACTTGCACAAAGAAAACAAGAGAGAGCAGAAGAGTCATACAGGTTTTAATTTTTTTTTTTATTAGTTAATATATCTAAAGTAAGGGGTTGAGTTGAATAAAAATAGAATAAGTTACTTAGTAAAAAAACAGATTTATGAAATATGTAATAAATAACAATAAAAAAAAATTTTTTTTATAGAAAGGTAGTGGCAAAAAATGAAACGTTAGAACATGAAATTTTTGAAAACCGCCGAAAAATTCGTGAGGTCCAGGCTAAAAGAAATGCCAGCGAGGTAACAGAATTGCATTACAAGAGAGAATTAAACAAATTGAATAACAGTGCTGAAAGTCTTGGAGAACATTGTTCTGTTTTAATAAAGGAACGCGAAATGCTCGAGGAAAAAGTAAAAATTCAGGATAGATATCATGAAGACTTATTAGAAAAACTTAAAAATTCTCAACGTGAGGTTGATTACTGGAAGCACAGCGTAGAGATGATTCAAAAAGAATGCCAGGAACTTATGTCGCGTAACGAGGACCTTGAAAACAAAAATCAAAAACAAAGCCTGAATCTTGATACAATTGAATCAAACTTAAGAGAAACTCAAGATGATGCCAATACATGGAAAGAAAAGTCAATTTATGTTGATGAAATCTGTGGAAAGTTAGTGAATGAAAATCGATCTTTAAAAAAAGATCTTTCGGCTCAATCAGAACACGTGCAAGATATTCAAAATAAACTGAATGAAGTTAAACAACACGGGGATATCTTGAATCAGCAAAACTCCGAGTACAAAAGCGTTATAAATGAATTAAAATTAAAAGTTAATGATTTAGAAGAAGAGATTAAAAATCTTTCACAACAAAAAAAGCAACTTGAACAAATGATTCAAGGAAACAACGAAACCCAAAAAGAATTACTTACAGAGAAAGATATAGCCGAAAACAATTCTAGGTAATCTATTTATACTATGATCAAAAATAATTGTATTATATATATAAATGTTACGCACAGATCGGAAAATCGCGCATTACACGAGCTGTGCAATTTTTTGCTCATTTCGTGAAATGGATAGCGCTGTTGCACAGATTGTGAAATGTTGAATTTTTACAGGTATATTTTTAAAAAACAGGACTCTAACAACACTGCTAGATCAAATATCATTTTTTTGCCTGCAACGCTTTAACCTCGTTATCTTTAACTTAAACTATATTTACGTTACCTTATGCAGTAGCTTAGGGTGACTAAGTTAAATTATGCAGTAGCTTAGGTTGGTTATTGGGAACTTTAATAGATTTATTTAACTAAACAAGTTCTATATTTGCATAAGCAAGTTAGAACATTAAAAAAAAAATTAATGAAAACGCAGATGAGCAATGAAATACCAAAAAATGCTAAACCCAATAGCTGGCTACTTGGTATTAACTTTCCATTTCCATCAAAACTTTACTCAAATTTCTTTCCTGTTTTTTTTACTACCTAAACATTTAAAGTTTTTTTTTTAATTTTTTTTTTAATATTTAATATTTTTTTAAAGAACAACTTTTTTTTATAGGTATTTACAGCATAAAATTAACGAGTTAAGCCAGGTTGTCGCACAAAAAGAAAACATAATTAGCAGACATAAAGAGAAAGAAACAGAATTAACAACACAACTTTCTGAAATAACGGAACAACTCAAAGTAAAAAAATGTGCATTAAAACAGACAACATCAAACTTAGATAATGAGTTAACAAATGTTGAACGCCTTGAAAAACTTAACTGCGACATGAACAAAGAAAACAAAAAATTAATGAACGAGTTACTTGCGTTAAAAGAAAAAATACAGGAGACAAATCGAGAAAACGCTTTGTTAAAGGATAAAATCAAAAAGCTCGAGAGAGAGCAAAATAATTTAGATAACATGATTGCTAAAACACAAAAATCGAATAGTGAACTTATGGAAAGTCAACAAGCGGCAGTAGAGGAAGTTAAGTCATTTAAAAACAAAAACAGCATGCTTGAGCAGGAAGTAATAAACTTGAAAAAAGAAAAAGATTTTCTTGCTAACAAGTTGCTATCAGTTGAATTAGAGTTTAACAAAGCTAAAGAAAATTTTACAAGAGAAAATGCTGAGCTTGTAAAAGAGTTAGAGTATACAAGGCGATCTATGGGAGAGTTTGAAAATATTTTAGACCAAGGACAACAAGATTTTGACGAATTGGAGAATCAACTAGAAGTCTATAGAAGAGAAAATATAGAGTTGGATGAAAAACTTCACGGAGCATTAAAAGAGCACATACGGCTGCAAGCTGAGCTAGAAGAATTTAAAAAAAATTGCGAAAAACAGATCAATGAGTTAGAAACAGCTCGCCGTGAAAGAGATAATGAAAAACATCAACACGAAAATTTAAAACAATTAAAAATCTCTTTAGATAGCCAACTTACCGAGAGACGCAACAGAGAAGATATTTTTGAAGAAAGGTTGCGTGGTTATGAGCAACTTTTGAAATCTAAAGAAGAAACACTTCTCTGCGAAAAAAAAGAAAAAGAAAACATGCAAGTTGATTTAATTAAATTCCAAAAAGAACTTATTGATTGTATTACGCGCCAAGATGAAACAAGAAAAGACATCGAAAATAAAAACAAAGAAATAATAGAATGGAGAATAAAATGCGATCATTTCCAGAATAAAATCACAACATTAAGTAGCGAAAATGTTAACCTTAAATCTCAGTTTGATACTTTGACAAAAAACTTTGACGAAACTCAACAAAAAATGTATAGATTCAAAGTTGAGAAAGAAGAGCTTGAACAAGAACATCGAAAATTTTCGAAACGCGTATGCGAGCTCGAGTTAAAGCTGGAAGATGAGCAAGCCACTCACGTTATTGAAAAAGATCAGCTTTTAACAGAACTTTCTGCTCTGAAGAGAATGACTAATGAAAAAGATATACTAAACGAAAAACATACTCATCATCTCACAAACAAGGAAAAAGAACTTTATAACATGTCACAAGAAAATGAGAAGCTAATTGAACAAATCAAAACAATTGAAGAGGAGCGGGAGATGGAAAGACAAACATTGTATGAATCTCTTGAGATGTGGAAAGATAAGGCTAATGCAATAGAAGTTGAAATGTCAGCAGAAATTACACAGTTGCGTGCAACAATTGATGCAATGGATCATTCAAACAAAAATGATGCTTCACTTATTCAAGCCACTGTTCAGGAAAATAAATCTCTCAAGTCTAAAATGGAAGAAGATAAACAAAGAAAGAAGCAAAATGAAATGGATATCGACTCTTTGAAGTATGATATCGTTCAACTTCAAAATGTTGTTGATTCGCTTGAAGGTAGGAACGAAGAACTGTCCAAACAAAACATGCAGATCAAAGATTTATTACTCGATTTAGAAAAAAAGAAAAAAAACATTGAAATTGAGAAAATAAAGTTGATGGAGGATTTAAATGCAAAGGAAGAATACATACAAGGTTTTTTATATTGTTAATCTTTTTTTAAGTTTATTTATTTTGAATCCTGTAAATCTGAACTTAAATTTCTGCTAATATATTATTTTATTAGTTTTTACGAAAACTTTTAAGTATTTCAAATAATATAGTGATAAATTAAGATAATTAAAAATTATTTGCCATATATTTAAAAAAGTAGCATTAAGTTTTAATAATTATTTACGAAAAAGTTTTAAAAAGGAATTAATTTGAATCATATAACACAAAATTTTTAATAATGCATAATAAAATATAAAATTTATAAAATATTGTATAATTACCATTTTATCGATATTATAAAAGTTATTATATCACGTAGCGTGGCGACATTGGGCAACATAAAATCCCGCTAGCAATGCGGCTAATAAGAAATAGGCATTTATTATTTTTTTTAATTTTTAATATACTTTATTCAAAATTTAAGATCTTCAGAGCGATAAAGGTCTAACGGAAAAAGAGAAGCTTAATCTCACGTCTGAACATAGTAAATTAATAGCTGAAATGAGAAGTTTAAAAGAACAACTTATTAATTACGAAGAAATAAAAACAGAAAACGAAAGTTTGAAGTACGACTTAGAAGCAATATTAGACGAGAGGCTCTCAATGCAGACCCAAATTAACGAGTTATCACATTTTCGAGCTGACAATTACGATTTACGTTCTCGAGTAGATCGAGTAATTGATATGGAAAATGAAAACCGAAGTTTAAAACAAGATCTTCGCGAAAAAGAACTCGCCTATCGTGATAATCTGGATAAATCTAATCGTGAAAATGCATTATTACGTCGTCAAGTCGACAACTTAGTTAAAAAAATTCAAGATCTTGAGTTAAGGCATGTTAACTTTGCACGTTCCAGACCTCTATCTGGACTGTATTTTGAATCGAAAAATACTGACATTCGACCTAAAGCCTATTCATACGATAATTTAAGTGAAGTCGGTATTGACGATTTTACGCCTATTAAGAACGCTACAAGCACACCAACTCAGGACAATAAACAAGGTCAGACATCAGATCTATCACGCCAGCCTGAATCTAGTGTTGCAAATACAAAACAAAAACTTGTCGAATTTCGCGTTGTAAAAACACCACGTGATGATTATCTATTGAAGAACGACGAAGCCATAAAAATAAGAAAATTTGATTCAAGCTATGCTCACACTCCGGAAGAGAAATTAACTTTAAATATACAGTCAAATCCTTTTTTGCAGCGCGATAAATCAATGAACAGTCAACAATCTAAACCAATAAATAGATCTCCAACAAAATCTCCAGGTCAAGATTACCTTAAAAAAGCAGCACTATCATTTGACATGCGTCCGCAATCAGCGGAAACTATAAAACAAGACTCCCTAGTCAAAAGTCCGACAAAAACTAAGAATGGAAATGATTACGTTAACAAATTAAAAGCTAACTTTGAAAAAAAGCAAGATGGTAATTGATGAATTAAACAATAGGCACGTGAAGCTTTTATAAAAGTGGATGTATAGTCAAATTTTTATTGATCTAGAAAAAGTTACTCAAAGTTTTTTAGTCTATGAATAACTTTTGTAAAATTTAAATTTTTTTATTATACAGTAGGCATGACAACCATTCAAGAGCATTTTTAGTGATTAAATATTTATGTCTAAGAAGGTTGCGTCCATTTAGTCATTTTTTGTGGATGTTTAAAATTTTATAACATTTTTGTAGGTATGAAGTTTGATAATTGATTTGTAAAATAGTAATGTTTTTTTTGTATTTTTATTTAGTTTTCATTTTGGAAACTTTATTTTGATATCAAACTTTGTTTTAAAAATTATTTCTGCTTTTGGTCATAGTCTGTTTTCCGTCAGAAATATTTTCCTATGAAATAATATTGTAAGCAAAACCAACGTTTAATGTCTACACTGTTAATATGTTATTTATTATGTATATATCTATATAACTTGCTACTGATACAATACGTTTTATGAAGTTCTTAATAATAATACCTCGTGGTAAGATCCTACATGCTTTGTTGAAAATCAACAGACTTGAATTTACTTGTGAATATTTGCATATATATATATATATATATATATATATATATATATATATATATATATATATATATATATATATATATATATATATATATATATATATATATATATATATATATATATATATATATATATATATATATATATATATATAATTATATATATATATATATATATATATATATATTTTTCAGATTTTTTTTTTGATGAGTAAGTGCTACACCAGGTACTTTCATATTAAAAAAAGAGACATTTGCCGCGTCCAATCAATCCTCTATTAGATTTCAGTTTCTTCTTGTGTTTTAAAAAAAATTTAGACATATTTAGTTTTTTCAATAATATTTAAGATTTTGCATATCTAAAGCATATTCTTACTTTCATTAGCTCTGAAGCTCCATTTATTTAAGCTTTCATTAGCACATATCTTTAGTTATATCAGCTCTGTATTGAAATCAACGCATAATCATCTATATAATATTGCCGAACTTAATAGTAGTAGTGTCCCTTGGAGCGTATTTGACACGAAACCCTTGGCAGCCATTGCAACCGAGGTATTGGCAAAAAGGAGTCGCAACACTATAAGAAAACGTTAACGAATATCTAACGTACGAAAACTTTAAACTAAGTAATGTTAAAGCATATGTTGAAAACATACGTCATAAGAAAACATAAGTCTCACAGTTTGATTTTCACTTGAAAATTACATTGCGTCAAGCTCTCCTTAATTTTCATCTACAACATTTTTTTTCTCAAAAAAATCATTAGATTATTTAAAAAAATTTACGCCAGATCGTATGCCGCGGCATACGATCTGGCGCCGGCATGCCGGGGAAGCACGAGTGGATAAGGCGTCGAACTTCTAAACAAGAAACTAGAGGTTCGAGTCCTGCCAATAGCGGCTACTTTTCTTAATTTTTTTTGATTATTTTAAATTACAAAATACTTTTGATATTTTATAAAGATTATATACAAACATATGTACTAAAGAAAAAATTTTAAGAAAGCTAAAATTTCATAAAACATCAAAAAAAAAACATCACCGGGAAAAAAAGTTTTTTAGTATGTAACATACGTAACTCTTAATTGAGTTACTTATGTTATTAATGTGCTCAAGTAATTAGTCCTAATAAGCTGCGGATGGGCTGAAAAAAAAATTGTCTGAAACTTAATAAAAAAAAAACTTAATAAAAAAGTCCTGCAACTCAAGAAGGTTTTTTTGCTGCGGTCGCAAAAAAAAAAAAAAAAAGAAAAAAAGCCTGTAGCTTGAAGAAAATTTAAAACTTTCTTTCGACAGTTAAAAGCTTTTTCATTGTGTCTTTTGCTACATTTATTTTTTTACTATAAATATGTGCTGCAAAACGCCTTAATATGCTTATTACGTATTTCGAGAAAAACGCAATTAAAAAAAAAATATTAAAAATTAACTCATTGTTAAATGTTTTTTGAAACGAATAATTTTTTATGAATTTTTTCAGAACTCTTGAGCAGTGGCGGATTTAGTATAGGGCGTGGAGGGGCGAGCCATACCCCCACGCCCCCTAGAACGGTCTAACGGCGCCCCCTAAAACAATTAATATATATATATATATATATAAGATTAAATTACTGAAGGCAACCCCGGTCGCCCCTATTTATTGACTTGGCTCCCCCGCGACACTAAACCTCAATCCGCCACTGCTCTTGAGTTCATGTATTCAATAACGTTTGTAGACATAAACTAGCTTATTTTGTAAAAAAGTCAAAAACGATACTTTTCAACCTTGGACGTTTTAAAAAAACGGCTGCAGTATGGATGATACAACAAATATGTTAAAATGAGATAATTTGACGCAAAATTTAAAAGCTCTTAACAAAAGCCACTAAACCAAAAAAATTAAAAATAATTGCTTAAAAATTTTATCAAAGTATAAAATTTTGTTATAGTGAATATAGTAATTGTAGTTCAAAATTTTATTATAGTGCGTTGGTTTTTACAAAAAACGTTACATAAATCATTTTTTAATTTTAATATAAACTAATTTCTTTTTAAAGTTTGTTGCACTTAACCATCTCTATATAAACAATGTATATATAAACAAATATCCTATTTGTTTATATATATTGTTTATAAAATGTAAAAAATACGCTTTATTCAGGATCGTATGTAATATAAGTAAACTTTTTTTATAATTACAAGTCTTTTTTGCTGTTTTGTTTTAATTTTTTGTAGTTATGTTACTATATTTAAACAAATTGACAATATTAAAAAAACACGAAACATATTGTCACTTTCGAGTAGAAAATTTGAAACTTCAAATTTAGATTTGCTCTTCTCACGATAATTTCTGATTTCTAAAATTGTCATCTGCTTCTTAGACCTTTAAAAATGATAGTCATAGAAATAAGAATTTATTTCAATTTTATAAAAACTCTATCTATTAAAGATATATGGAATATATATTTTTATGAGTTATATTTTAATAAAGACAAAAGGGGCAATTCATCGAAATAGGGAAGGGGAGGGGTCGAGATTGAAAAGTCAAAAAAGAATAAGGGGAGGGAACTTTTTTTTTTAGTTTAATTAGCATGAAAAATTAACTAAATATGTGTTTTTAAGAAGATAATGTATGACAATATTTTGAATTTTATTTTTCAAAGGTGTAGCAGCAGATTCAAACAACATTGCAAGATGAAATAACTTTTTTGGGGGTTCAAATTAGAGGGAGAGGGCAGGATTTTATGACGTCCTTTTCAAGGGAGTATAGGGAAAAAGGACAACGGGTGACGGATGGGGGAGGGGGTCTAAAAATAGCCAATAAATAAATACATCCTTTATGAATAGCCCCAAAACTATTTGTCTATTACTATTGTAATAAATACAATCTCTTATCCGTGAAAATTATATATCTTACCAGTTTTATATACTTTAATGCATTTGTATTCAACATAATAAAAATTAATAAAAAAATGTAAGATAAGGGGCTGTTCAAATAATACGTGACACTTTTTTTGTCGTTTTTATAATCCCCCCTCCCCTATTTGACATTTTGAGAGCACCCCCTTCCCCCGCCTCTCACTGTGTGACGTGACAAAGACAAAAAAAACTTTTTTATAAGTGTATATTTTAATTGTAACAATTTAAAAAAAAAATTGATTTGTAAAGTTTTTCCTTTTCACTAGACATTTTTAATCTATAACAACAACAAAAACAACAACAAGAATTTATTTCCCTTTTTGACCATCACGTTAAATAAGTATATAGTAAAGATAGTATTAATAGTAGCATTAATAACAGTACCACTATCACTAAAATTTTATATCATAGTAGCTAAATAACTTAATACATAATAAAAATAATAACGTAATAAAAGTAATTTGACAAATTCATTATAATAGAGTGACACAAACCAATAAAAGTAACAATAACAATAACATTAAAAATAAAACTAAATTAATTATTGATCAGATGGCGATCAAGAATAATATTGACTATGTATTATGTTCAAAGATATAATTTTAAGCAACTATTAATACTAAAATTTTAGTATATTTATACAAATATAATATTCGTTAAAAAAATAAAATAAGATTTTTAATGGTTGTATACATTGCTTTTTAAATAATCGCCCACTATCTGGTTTTCTATGTTTGTAAGATCAAAATTTCTTTTTATGCGTGCGATTACTACAAGAAATTTCAAATTTAGATAAATCTCTTCCTATCATTTAAGGTGAAAGTGATGCTTTTTGTAAACTTGAGTGTTGGTGAGGAAAACTGTCTGTAGGTAAAACAAAACTCAAGGTTTCAACTCGCATTTGTCAACATCAAAAACATACTTTTGAGGATAAATGGAAAAATTCGGCTGTGGCGGGGCTTTCTAGAATGGTGCCTTTGGATGGAATAAAAACAACATTGTTAAAGTAGAGGTAGACTTTTTTAAGAGAAAAGTAAGAGAGTGTTTGGAAATTCAGTATCACCATTGTTTTCCAAATGAAGGAGGTTTGAATGAAGATGACGGTGATTACGTTATATAGTTGTTTCGGAAACTTTATTTTTCTTATTTAAAACGCAACAACACATTAAATTGAAGTTTTATTATTTGTTTGTTTTTTTAACGGTTTTTTTATATTACTTGAATAATGAGGGTATATAGAAACCCTAGAAATATTGTATTTTAATCTAAAGAATTTTATAAGGATAAGTTTACATACTATAACAGATGTTTTAACTTAATTAACTTATATAAAAACTTATCTTAGATGTTAACTTTTCAAAATTAAGGTGAACGTCTAAAAAAAACTAATTTAAATTTCCAATTTTCATTAGTTATGATTTCGTTAAATAATAAACGCTAGCCTGCTTGTGAAGTTGTTGCATATCATTTTTTTTGAAAATTTTCGTATAATATATGGGATCGCGCGGTAGAAAAGTGACCAGATAGGGGGAATGAGTTATTTATACCACAGAAACAAGCTAATTAAACTAAACAAAATGACACCAAGATCTTTAAAATAGCTTAACTGAATCCAAAGTTATGATTTTTTATATTCTAAAGTTTAAAAACGGCAATTGTCGGGAAAATCAATTTGAAGTTTTAACAAAAATGTTATTTGCAATATTTTTGGAAAATGTTGAAAGTTATACAGATTTGAATTGATTACATTAGACAACATCATTCTTAATGAAAATATTAAAATAATTCAAATGAAAACAGAAAACTTAAAAACCACAGGTCACTGGGTTTAAACGTGATTTTCTCAGAAACTAAACTCCCGCAATATGGTCCCTTTTCTACCGCGAGATCACATATCTCCGAGTTTGCAATTTTAACAAATTGCGCAGTGATAAAAGATTTAATTTGAAATGGTATTTGGTGACATTTTCCAATACCCCTACCCCCCTTAAGACTGTCACGTATTATTTGAACAGCCCCATAAATGCAAAAGGAAACTTGACGCATAAAGGTTTATTTTGCCACAAACTGGCGTCAATGCCAAAATCATTTTGGCTTGACTTTTAAATAAGCGTTTAATATTATTCTTTTAGTTCTTAATCATAAAAATTAATTTTTTTTTAATGACTTTGGTTTAGTGCTCCTAGATCTTCTTAATTCCATTTGTTTAGCGTTTCGTACAAATGAATGTAAGTGTAAACATCTTTAGCATTTGTTGAGTTTGCAGCCCTTTTATGGAATAATCGCGTATAAATATAAATCTATAAAACGAAAAAACTTGATCTTTTTTTCTATATTCTTATTTTTTTGCTATAAATATACAAGCAAGATTGAAAAAATTTCAAATTTTATTACGCTAAAAGGAGGTCTAAAACCCTCCAAAAAAAACACTGATAACAGCGCATTTAACCACTGCGCTATCAATGAAATGCATTAAGCAAAAAAAGCAAACCTAATTATAAGTCTCTCATAAGTTCTACGTATGCGGAAAAGGAGCGCATGTTAAGTTTTTTGCTCTTAAACTATTTTTTCAGAATAAATTATTTTGCTAAAAAATATTGAAGTAAATAAGGAATAGGTATAGAAATTTTTGGCTCGAAATAGATATGTAAATTGGTGAAGACCTGTATTTTACGGATCCGGAAAGCTTGGGTATATAAGGAAAAAGTATAAAAAAGTTCGGTTTGGAATAGCTATACAAAGACCCGTATTTTTACGAGTCCGATCTCAACTAGTTAATTAATATTACATTTGAAAAATAAAAAATTTGTACCGTTATCATATTGTATCAAATGCTTTTGACAGATTTATACAAATTTTAAGTGTAAACTGATTTTTTTCAAAATATATTAGTTACTTAGTCAACTAGTTTGATAATTTTTCTCTAGAAACCAAACTATTTAAGTTTTTTGTGAAATGACTATGGCATATATTATATATCCTATAAAAAATTTATGGTAAAAAGATGCCTTACTAAAGTTAAAATACTTTACAGAACAAGACTGAGTACTCATATCAAAACACAATCATTTGTAAAATTAGTTTTAAAACAGATTTTAATTGCTCTCAAGTACCATACCACATTTAAAAAGGGGTTTGTGAGCTTCTTTCATCATAGATAAGAACTTCTTTTTGCTTCTTTCACTATAGATAAGAAGCCTCATAAGCCTCTTTATAAATATACAATACTTATGAACTATTAAAGTATTTATGTTAATTAAAACCATATCATTAATTATTAACCATATTAATTGTAACCAGATTATTTTTTAGTCAATATTAACATTTTAAAAACATTTTGAACATCAATACAAACAATTTGCATCGATGCTCGGAGTTCGTTTTTTTATAAAAAAAATCTTATAATTCAATTAACTTATGCGGTATAATTATTATTTAAAAACGAACATAAATTCAGTAAATAATTTTACTAAATAGTTCTTAACTTATAAAATTTTTAACTTATGAAAGTATTTTATACCAACATTTTAAAATAAAAATAAATCAGAAACTAAATAAATCTACTATTATCAAAGCTTCTTTGTTTTTCTATTAAACTAAATAATGTTAATGTTTTAAAACGCCAACAGTGCATAGCAATTAAGCCATATTTGTATTTTGTTTGTAAATACATGTAATTAAATCTTAATAACATTTGACATTTTGCCTAAAATACAGATAACACTTGACATTTTGCCTTGAATACAGATAACACTCGACATTTTGCCTAAAATATAAATAACACTTGACATTTTGCTTGCCTAAAATACAGATAAATTAGTGGAAGATATTAGATTTATGAACCATTGTTATTTAAATGCTGAATGTTCTTCAAATATAATCTGTCTAGTACAAGGTTGTTTATATTTTGATGTTCTTTGGTTGTTTGAAAATTTGCCTCAAAATTTTTGCTATAAATGAAAATTTGCCTCAAAATTTTTCCTCTTCAAGTTCAAAAATTATGACCATATAAAATTTGTAACCCCCTCAGATTCAGGGGATTCAAAACTTATATGGTCATAATTTTTGAACGCTCAGAGATTATACTATGAAATTTAAAATTTATTGATGAATATACATTTAATTGAGAATAGTAGAAAAAAGTATTTTATCAACTTTGCTTTCACGTTTAGGGCAGGTGAGGAGGAAAATAACTTGAAGTTTTTTTTTCCCCAGACTCCGTTCATCGCAGTTTTTTGCAAAGCATTTTTATTTGACATTAGTATAAACATATAACCCAACGGGCATTTGTTTTTAAAAGCTACGTTCTAAATGTCTTTTAAACGTTTTTTAAACGTCTTTTAATCGTTCTTTACGTAAGAATGTTTAGAAAACGTTTAAAATACATTTAGAACGTAACTTTTAAAAACAAGTGCCAACTCGGAAATGTTTGGAAATCTCAAAAAACAAAAAATGCCATGGTTTAAAAACATTAACTATTGCAAGCTAAAATAGTAGCAACTGCCAGCATTTTTTTAAATCTAAACATATATATAAAAGTAATATTGAAGGGGAAAACGACAAATAATGAGGCAAAATAGTTTTTTATGTTTGATTTTTTCATGTACACATAGACTCTATGAAGGTCCATTGCTTGTTAACGAGGAAACGAGTTTCAGAGTTTGAAACTATTTGATATTTTGTAGTGATATTTAAAATACTGAACTTTCTAAAGTCATTAAATTTAACAATCATTCTTCATATTTTTCAGTTCATCTTTTTCTGCCATTCTAGCCACTCTAGAAGACATAAATCTAGAAGAATCTAAAGAACATACATGAAATGTTAGAGCAGAAACTATTGGACTATCAGTTTTAATAAATACATTATTTACAATCATTTGTTTTTTAAATATTATTTTTGGTTCTAACTCCGTGGTGGTCCGTAGGTTAAATCCTCAAAAACTAATAAAAAAATTGTATGATAAAGTTCTAAAAAACAAAACGTATAAAAATGAGAAAATGTACAAAAATTAAAAATTCTATTTTTAATAAAAAAAAAAACTCCAAAAAAATTTATTACTCAAAATTATTAGTAAAAATAAACGAAAACACTCAAAAAAAATGGCATGTTATTAATAAAATAATTGGGAAAAATTATAAAAAATTTTCTACCAAAAAAACTTCTGATAAATAAAATATTAGTCTATGAAAAATCTTCTATTACTGAAAAACTTGTCAGCTTCGGTGTAAATATTTGGCTAAAATATTTCCACAGAGCTCATCAAGTTTTAAATTTTATTTAAAAATGTTCAGTACTCAAATGGACATAATTAATCTTAAAATTTGCAAATTTCGAGATGCTTTTAACAACCTTAAAAATATGTTGTAAAATTTGTGTTTAATAACATCGAGCCATAACTATTTCATATTTTTAAACTTTCTTTAAAATCGTATATTGTTCCATATAACTTAAAATTGCCCAAATTACACCTATTATGAAAGGAATATAGCTACCTTATTTCAAACTATGGACCAATTTTTGTATTACCTTGTTTCCTTAAAATACTTGAGCGTAAATCATATAAAAAACACCTAGCTGTATAGAAAACATTCGGTTTCAAAAAAATGCAATTAACTAAACACGTAATTGAGATTGTCAACGAGATCTGACGCTCTAAACAACAATTATTTTACTGTAGGATTTTTTATTGATCTGTCCAAAGCCTTTGATACAGTAAACCATAATATACTGCTATACATGATAACTAAACTAACATAATTCATAAAGTAATCTCTTTCAAAATAAAGTTTAAACCCCTTTTAGTCAAAACGGGTTACTAACTTTATAAGGCCATTGTTTTTTAAACGCCAAGAGATTTTATTGTGAATTTTAAAATTTATTGATGAATATAAATTTACTTGAGAATAACGAAAAAAATTAATTTTAGCATCTTGTTGCTCTCACGTTTAGGGCAAGTGTCGCCTAAATTTCAGGGTTTTTTTTGTTCCTAGGCTCCAATCATCGCAATTTTTTGCTAAGCTTCTTTATTTGATATAAGTATTAACATATAAATGTTTGAGTTTTGCTCCATGTTTGGAAGTTAGGTCAAACATCAAAAAATGCTGCATTGCCTCTATATATATATATATATATATATATATATATATATATATATATATATATATATATATATATATATATATATATATATATATATATATATATATATATATATATATATATAGATATAGATATATATATATATATATATATATATATATATATATATATATATATATTTATATATATATATATATATATATATATATATATATGTATATATATATATATATATATATATATATATATATATATATATATATATATATATATATATATATATATATATATATATATATATGTATTTATAGAGAGAGAGAGAGAGAGAGAGAGAGAGAGAGAGTTTTTTAGTAGTTTCAATATTTTGTAACATTTGTTATAAAATATTGAAACTACTAAAAAACAAATGTAAAACATATTTACATTTGTTTATATATTTTCTTTAGTCAAAAGTAAACAATACACGATTAAATAAATATAATTAATGCTGTTGTTGCAAACGGCTGTTGATCGACTTCTTTGACGAATGGAAGGTATTTTCTTTGCGTTGCATAAATTTGTAGAACAACAGTCAACCTAAAAAAGTTAGCAAAAATAAAACTCGAGGTTTACATTACAAAACAGAATGAATTTATAATACTACATCATTACTACATAAAAAAAAACAATACTTAGATAATCATAATATTCTTGAAATAATTTATATAAAACTTTAAAACACACGCACACATATATACAGTACTTTTTTTTCATTCAGTGAATCGATTTGTATTATTTTTATTATTCTAATTTTATTCCTATTGACACTATACTATTATACAATTTATTTATATTTATTTAAAATTCAAGTTACGAAAGTTTATTTAATTCAAGTTGGAAAATTTCTTAAAAAAAACAAAACCAATAAATTGATTTAAATTCAAAAAAAAAGTATCTTTTAAAGCAGCCTTTTTTGACACTAATAAATTTAGATTATTTTTAAGTTTGTCCCATTGGTTAATTATCTAAATTATCTCTCTCCTCCTTCTCTCTCCTCCTCTTCTTCCTCCTCTATCCTAGGTTGATGAAAAGAAAAAATAAACTTTTAATAAGTAATTTATGGGGCCAAAAAGAGAAGAGTTATTTGTACAATCCGTTGTTACCATTTTTGATTAATATCTTAACAAAAAACATTTGAAGAATCTTTAAATTATATTTTTTGTTTTTCAAATTTGCGAATACTAAGTTAAGTTAAACCGCAATATACAAAAAATATTTGAAAATCTGTACAAAGTAAATTAATATGATTTTTTATCAAAAACTTTGGTTTAAAATTATAGATGACAATAAAAGGCGCTAACGTATGCTGTTTTCATAAACGTCAATAAAACTTGAGTGCATTCCATTGATTAAGTGCGTTCCATTTAGTACGGAACTAAAGATTCACAAGATAAAAATACTTTAATGAAACTTTATTTGAAATTTTTGATTTAATACTATTAATGATCAGTTTTTTTACTTCGCTTTAAAACGCTTTGAGGTTAAAAAAAAATTGTGTACATGTATTGCAGACTTAAACAACGTTATTTTGTTATTTTGACAAATAACTTCAAAACATAAATCAAACTCCAAAAATAAATTTTTTTTAAAGACAGTGTCTGTCTTTGTTAAAAAAAAAAACAGAAAATATAACAAGCACATTAAAATTTAAACGACATACAGCACACATGTTTCCCATACTTTTGTAAAGCAAGCAATACTTTTGACAGTTATCAAGTTTAGAAATGACGCACATTTTTCGGTAAATTTGAGAGACGGTTGATATGTTCAATGATTCTACATATATCTTGTATGACAAAGTAACGCAATGGGAGTCATTTGGACAAGGTTTTATTATACTTGATTCCTTGCAGGCCTCATAGCTGGTTGCTGAACAATGGTAACATTGCAATCCGAGTGCTGAAATAAAATAGGATTAAGAAAAATAAAACACAATCAAAAAAAAAGTTTTGAAGTGACGGATACTTACATTTAGGTAACGTAAATTTAAGTAAACCTAAATTTAGGTAAACGTAAGTTTAGGTAGGCGTAAATTTAGGAAGAAAAAAAATTTAGGTAGATGTTTATTTAGGAAAAAAAAAATTTAGGTAGACGTAAATTTAGGAAAAAAAGAATTTAGGTAGACGTTTATTTAGGAAAACTTAAATTTAGGTAAACTTAAATAATATGAAAAATGCTGCTTCTTAAAGTTCTACTAATTTAAAAATAAGTTTAAACAAATTCAAAAAAAAAAATACAACCAAAATTTAAACTGTTAAGTAGCGGATTAACTTTTTTGAAGAAAATAAGTTAACAAATACCAGACCAGAATAACTAGTGGTTAAAAACAAGTTCACAAACTAAAGACCAGAATAACTAGTGGTTAAAAATCTATGATTATTTAATATTAATAATAAAGAAGAAAAATAACATAATTAAATATAAATTATTATAGCTAGTTTTATTACATTTACATATTTAAACTTCCTTTAAACATCATCAAAACCAAATGTTTTTTTTTCACAAACCATCTAACTCTGATAATTTACCACTTCAGCTTCCCCAGCTAATGATCAACAACATTAATATAAAGAAAGACCGTTCAATGAAATTACTGGGAATATTTTTTCAAGAAGTTCTAAATTGGAAGAATTGTATTTTGCATATATGATTTAACTTTTTCAAAAAATGATTTTCAAAACATGAAAATCATTTTTTCACAATCGGCATTATGCATAAAATAAAATGCCTTCTAAACTTGATTAAAAAAATGTATATTATTGTTCATTTATAGTTATATATATTATCTTCTATAGCTTGTTTAAGATTTGCTTATCTTTATAGCATACGCGTTTTCAGAAAAAGAAGAAAAAAACAAGGAATAATGAAAGAAAAGATTGCTTCCCCATCCCAAACTTGAATTCTATATTTACTTATTTTTCCTGGCTTACTATTCCCAAAATATACCTAAAACATTACATTATATCCACCATGTTTAATATTTGGCACTGTACACTCTGGCAAAACCTTTTCATTCTTAGATCGGCAGACAAATACTTATAAGTTAGAACCGAAAGTTTAAAATTAGAATTTTTCCTTCCAATTTTTCCTTCCAATCTTAATGAGTTTTATCCCAAACCAACATGTTTTTCCTCTGTTGTTTTGTAAATTTTAGTTTTTTATCGCCAAACATCTTCGGAGACCATCAAAGTACAGCCGTCTATCAACTATTTAAACTGGCATTTAGATGAATTTCATTTAATTTCGCTGCAATTTGGAGGGCTGTTAAACAACAGCTTTGGTTTGAAGTTAGTTTTATAAATTGATCTTGAGCTACTGTTTTAATTTTGGGTTGCCATTACGTTTCTCGTCTTTTTACTGTTACTGTTGATATCTTGGTGGCTTTTTAACAAATAATGAACCCTTTTGCAGAAATACTCTGTTTTTGGCAATTTTTTTCTCACCACACCCTTCACCTGTAAGAGTACAGATTACACTTAATAATGGAAAAATGGTAACAGTTACAGTTTACTAACTGCTAAATGTGACCTTTTTGCCATTATAAAGATAAAAAAAATTAAAATTGGTCTAAAAACACCACTCCACAATAGTTTGTTTTTTTATTAAAGAGATATCATATCGGTATGCTAGTTATAACTGTCAGATATTTACTAATAACTTTAGTTAATATAGTTTTACCGATTTCATATTTAGACATAACCTCAAACGTCCATAAATAAAAGTAGTTATACCGTACAGTGTAAACATACAAAACTTTATTGAATCGTTAATATATATATATATATATATATATATATATATATATATATATATATATATATATATATATATATATATATATATATGTATATATAAACTTAAAAAAGTACCTTTTTCGAGTTTTGAAAAAATTATTACTTTTGAAAGTATAATAAAAAACCACATAACTATAAAACTTAGTTCTTAAAATTTTAAAAACATACTTAAAGCAAGTCATATGAGCAAGCTATTTATTTGCTTGAAGAAATAGATTAGAGCTGGAATAAAACGAACCTTATTAAAATGTTTTAAAGATTTTTAAAATAGAATGCATTTATTTAACATAAATAGATATTCATTATTCATGATTAAATTTTAACTGATCCGTTAAACCATGGCCTTTTTTTTAATTCTTGTTAAATTTTTAACAATTTTTTTAGAAAAATTAAATTTTTAAAAATTTAAATTTAACTAAGCTAAAAATTTGGTCAAACTCTGGCTAATATAATTAACATAACATAAAAAGATCAATAGAAAATTCTCAAAAATATATTCAAACTCTAAAGTTGTTTAAATTTACAAGCATCGTTATATTTATAATGAAGATTTTAAATGTTGACATTTTTAAATGTCGACAATTTTTAATGTCATAAAAATTAACTTAAATATGTCATAAAAGTTAGCTAATATTATTAATAATAAATTTAATTATTAATACAACAGAAAAAAATATATTTACTAAAACCTCTTTGTCCTATAATTAGCTATTGGAGTTCATATTCCCAGTTTTTTAAATAAGGGGTCATTTATAAACCACATATTCCAAAGTATAGAAAATTGAGATCATCCCCACTTTGTTGCCATGTGAGCTTTTAAGTTTTGCCCCCCTCCCTCTTTTCCTAAAAAGTTCGTACGCTTTTTTTTTTTTTTTCCTAAATTTATTTGCTTTCAATAAAAGAAATTACAATTAAAGAATAGCTTACAAATTACAAATATACTCGACAGGACTTCCAGAAGATCATACGATCTTATCATAAAGAACTTTACAATATCAAATATAATAATAATAACAATAAAATCAAATTAACCAATAAAAAAAAATCAACATAAACTATATAACTGTGCATTTAAAATATAAATATACTGGATAAATTGTATGAAATATATGAAATAAAAGAACTAAAAACAAGAAAAAATATTTTCTGCTGAAAAGATAACTTCTTTTAATTTTCGTTTGAAAGAAGTTAAGGTGGCCTTAACTTCTTTCAAGCGAAATTATACACTATAATTCTGAAATTAACTATATTATTTTCAATTGTCTACCAAACCTTTTACAATATGTTTTAGACAATGAAATTTTCAGAGATAATTTGAAAATTTTTGAACTATAATTATTTGAAAAAAAATAATTTTAAATTGAACCAGGGGGTCGCCTAAAAAAGTAAAGGTTCAAAATATAGTGCAGAATATTAGTTAAAATTGGCTATTATTATCTTCAAAATAATTGTATACAACAATCAATAATGTAGTTATAAATGGGATGTAGGATTTTTTTTTTGAAAATTTATGTTCCAGGGGGTAATATCTTGAAAACAGGTTTTTTATAAATATATATTATTTATTACAAAAAAAATAAAAATCTGCTTTCTACATCCCATCCTAAATATCTATGTGGATGTCTATTCAAAATTTCAATCAAAATGGAAAAATACTTTAGTTAGGATCTTCTGCACAGTGATGCAACCCACAAAAATGTTTAAACTGAGAAAAACAGTGTTTTATTTTGAAAAACTTGCAAAAACATCCTTAAGGATCAAATTTTCACTATATATGATAATATATATGATGAACTGCTTTTTTTTTTTAATATGATAATATATATGATAAACTACTTTTTTTTTTTAATATATATGATAAACTGCTCAAAAATATAGAGTTTGGTATATACCTTTAGTATGTAATAGCATATAATATTTGAATTAATTTTTTTTTTTCAATAATTTCTACATTAAAAAAAAAAAAGTATATTGAAATATAGATGAAAATATGTTATAGAGAAGATATATATATTACTGATTTCTTTTTGAATATATTATTACCACCAAAAAACATTTATAAATTTATCAAGGTGCAAATTAAAATAAATTTTATCTAAGCATTTTTTAAAGAATAAATAAATAAATTTAAACTTTGTATATATACACTATATAACATTTGTATATAAACACTTTATCATGACAAAAGCAAAATAAAAACTCTTAAAAAAGTTAAATGTCTTTGAAAACAAACTCAATGGTTAAACTGTGATTTGTTTCTCCAATATGTACACCAAGTATCAATATGCTTAGGGCAGAGAGAATGTTGTTTTAACTTTAAATCCTAAACTTTTAAGAATATAACAAAAAACCGATCTGTCATAAACATGATTTTCCATAATAAGAAAGTTTTCAGGAGAAAAAAGTAACTGTATAATAGGTCAAATAAAAAAACAAATACTCTTAGTAACCAAAATAAAAAATGGTAACTAAGGAAGAAAAAATATATAGGAAAAATAGGCTCCCAAAAAACTTACTTGCTGTTGGAATTTCAAAAAAAAATTTACAAGCTTCCTTCTGAATAGTTTGACCAAAAATTAAAGCCAAAAAAAAATCATTTTTTTTTTTTACTTTATATAAAAATATTGTGTACGGCAACCTTAAAGTCCATTACAATGACAAATCAAAATTTGGCATAACTATTTTTTTCCATAAATAAGAACTGCGATAAGAAATAATTAATTATTCAAATTTAGTTTGGCAAAAAGATTCTTGTAAATTTTTCCATTGCGAAGATTGTATTTGTTTATGGGTTTTACATTATAAAGGTTTATAAATACATTAGAAGATAAATGATTTTTACATTTTAACATAAAACATTTAGTTCGTATACATTTAAGGCTTTCATTTCTCTCAGAAGTGGTTTTGAATTTAAAAAACGATTTACAAAATTAATTAAGCGAGCTGAGTGTTTCTGATGCTGATAAAGAGATTTAAGTTTAGTTTTGTGCGCGCTTCCCCATACAATATTTGCATAATTTAAATGGCAGTGGATAAACGAAAAATATAGTTGTTTTAATTGTTTTTTATTTAAAATAAGTCAAACTTTATATATAATTCTAATACTTTTAGCAACTTTCAAGGAGATAATATTGATTTCTTGTTTCCAGGATACAGCGTTGGATCAAGGGGAGAGGTTAGAGGTCTATAGCCCCGGGCCCCGCAAATTAAGAGTCCCCCAAAAATTTTAGAGGACTTTTTTTTTTACATAAGTCATTTTTAGGCTCTGGCTCATAAAAAGGCCTCCAAAAACAAAAATAGCCTCGGGCCCTAAGAAGTCTTAATGAAGAGGTCGGGCATTGTATTTGGAAAACATTTTTCTCTGGATATTGGGTAAAAAAGTAATCATTTTGTTTTATCAATATTGAGGGACAATTTGTTTTTCTTAAACCAATATGAGATTTTATTTTATTCTTGTGTCATATTATCAAAAAGCGTATTTATGTTTTCATGAGATCGGAATAGGTTTGCGTCATCAGCAAAAATTATAGTGGTTAAGTTTGAGGCTTTTTTGAGGTCATTTATATGTGTTAAAAATAATAGGGGCTTAACTATGAATCCCTGTGGGACACCACATGTTACATTCATTAATAAAGGCAAAGAAGAGTCTTGGACATTAACAAACTGCTCACAATTACTAAGATAGCTTTTGAACCAGCTGAGGGATTTATATATAATTTCATAGAGTTCTAATTTTTTTAATAGAACGTCGTGATCGACAGTATCAAAAGCTTTAGACAAATCGATGAATACTCCTAGGGTATAATGAGAATTTTTAAAAGAATCAGAAATGCTGCGTGTTAGTTACAGTATGGCATGTTCAGTAGAATAGTTTCTCTGGAAACCAAATTGATTATTATATAAAAGTTTAGTATCAACAAAATAATTGTAGACTCTGACCAATATCTTTCAAAACGTCAAAGAAGTCTATTCCATTGATGTAATCAATAACGGTACTATTTATTAATAACAGAATAAGGCCCCATTCCCTTATTCCGTTATTAATATGCCTTATTCCGTTATTAATATGCCTTATTCCGTTATTAATATGCCTTATTCCGTTATTAATATGCCTTATTCCGTTATTAATATGCCTTATTCCGTTATTAATATGCCTTATTCCGTTATTAATATGCCTTATTCCGTTATTAATATGCCTTATTCCGTTATTAATATGCCTTATTCCGTTATTAATATGCCTTATTTCGTTATTAATATGCCTTATTCCGTTATTAATATGCCTTATTCCGTTATTAATATGCCTTATTCCGTTATTAATATGCCTTATTCCGTTATTAATATGCCTTATTCCGTTATTAATATGCCTTATTCCGTTATTAATATGCCTTATTCCGTTATTAATATGCCTTATTCCGTTATTAATATGCCTTATTCCGTTTTAATGATTTAAACACTGCTTCAAATTCGCTGTATGTTAGATTTAAAAAATTTTAAGTTGAATTAGGTGATATTATAAACTCATCGATTGATTTGTCATTAAGATAAGAAATTTTATTTGATAAGCTGGTTCCTTTATTATTATTATTAAGCTTGTTCCTTTATTTGATAAGCTTTGAAATTTTATTTGATAAGCTTGTTTATTAAAGAAAAAAATTTATTAAATTCAAAAGCAATTTTATTAGGGTCATTAAATAGTTTGTTTTTAATTTTTATTGGATTTGGTAATATTGTACTTTTCTTATTTTTTTCCGTGATCTCTTTCATTAGTTGCCAAATACGCTTTGAATTATGTTTATGCTTTGTAAACAAGTCGGAGTAGTAATTTCTTTTTGCATTTTTGCGGAGTTTTTCGAAATTATTTTTATAAATTAAGTAGTTATTTTTATGATTGACTGATTTATATTTTAGATATTTACTATACAGTTTTTGTTTCACTTTCAATGATTTTTTATGTCCTTTAGTTATCCAAAGACATGATAAGGATTAAGGACATAGCGTAAAGGATTATTTCACGAATAGGGAAGTTTGCATCATAGATGGATTTACATGCTTTGAAAAAAAGAATCGAAGATCATGCTTGACGTTTGAACTCCCCTCCCCTCATTTTTATGAATAAATATAGTTTTATGTATAAAAGATTGTATAATTAGAGCGTGAGTTCTTTTAAAATTGATTATAACCCCTCCCCCAATTACTTTATTGAACGGTTTTTTCAGATCCCTCCTCTCCTAATCCCCCTGTGATATTTTATACAACCCAAAAGCTAAAAAAAATTTCAATGAAATATGTGAACATATAGTCACTTATTAATTGTGATAAATTACTAAAACAACTATTACAAAGGAATTTTTTTTAAATTCGTACGCTATTGAAAGACCCCCCATTTTCCCTTATTTACTCGCTATTGGAGACTCCTCTTCCCCGCTTCCTCTTTTCCCTTTTCCATTATTGGAGACGTCCTTCTCGGTATCGGAGACCCCTCTTTCCCGATTTTAGAGACCCCCTTCCCCACTATGAGCATACGCATTGTATGGACAGCCCCTAATAATCAAACTTCTTTAAGCTATCTTTTTAAACAACAGTCAAGCTCCTCTAAACTATATAGTTTAAAATATCATTAATTCCTATATTTCACTGTGCATGGCAAGTATAGAAATTATTTAGAAATATATATATATATATATATATATATATATATATATATATATATATATATATATATATATATATATATGTATATATATATATATAAATTTCTAAATAACAGTCAAGCTTCATTAAGCTATTTTTTAAACGCTGTTATTTCTGTAGTTCAACTTTTTAACTTTTATTTTTCAAAATGCTTTCTTAATTTGTACATTGTATATACTCTTAAAAGACGAAATAGAATATAATAAACTAACCCAGCAACCAAAGTTTTTTTAACTGTATTTTCAGAGAATTTGGGTATTGTAATTTTGTAATTGTAGTATTTTTGGATATTAGTTTGGTACATTAAAATTTCCTATTCCTCGAGTGTCACATCTATTTCTATTGCATTAACAATGCTTTTTGTTTGAAAAAAAACCCGCAAGATTTATAAAACAATGTCTGTACTAATTTATGTATTACAAAACTGCTAACTATGTAACTGATTCGCTGAACAAACTTAAAACTTTATCTAATAAACGGAAAAAAACACATACTGAAACTTTTTAGTCTCTTTGTTTATCCGCGTACATTTGTTAGGTGACCTCATTAACAGTATGTATTGCACTTTCTAGCATCGTGTGCAATTCCTGTCCGCTTTCTCTATGCTATCTTTCTAACACAACTACTTCTATCTTTCACTCTAATATATCTTCGTTCTTCTCAAACTCACTTTACTCTTGGTCTGTTGAGCAAATGTAAAAATGATAATGACGCTCCCTTAGGAGCTGAATCAATCGTTGCGGGCCTTGGTAAAGTGGCCTTCGTATGGCAATTACCTGAAGGAGAATAAACCATAATACCAACCTAAAACTTTATTTAGAAGTTTACACAAACTTTGATTCGAACCAATATTTATGGTAAGTAAAGTAAATTGACTATTACTTAAAATTGATCAAGAAATTATCTAATTTGAATCCAGAGGTTGTTTGCATCTAACAAAGATGCATTTTGTATCTAAGTGTGTAGAAAATTTATAAAGACAAAAATAAAAAAATTATTTCGTGGTAGCAAGTTGTAAAATGTATGAGGCCTACAAGGGGTACAACGCGACAACCAACGATAACACAAGCAACGCTACTTCATTGTTGATTACATAAAACGTTGCTCAGACACAAATAAGGCTCAAAAACTCTTCATACATTCATTTATCTATAAAGTAGTACCTTGCAGTCCAAAGTTACCTGTTCCAACTTCCCCTAAGAGCGCTTTTCGCGAATAAATTCTGAAATGGGGAATTTTTTAATATACTCTCGATTCTGTACAATAACAATATGAGAATATAGAACCAAAAAATAGTATTGCGGAATGAAAAAAATTTTAAAACATAAAAATATTACTGAAGTACATTGAAGCTCAAAAATTCTTTTGTTAAATATAAAAATACTAAATATAATTATACATTATCTAAATAATTATATTATATCTTTTCTGGTTATTAATGTGCTCCGAGAAAATCGTCTTTTCACAGAGTACCGTGGAATAGGTATATATACTATATAATGAGGTAGTTTTTACAGTTTTCCTTCAACTCTTAATACAAGAGAAGAAATCAAACCTAAAATCTTTTGTTTCTAAAGCAAGCGCTTTATCTTTAGCCCCACGACTACTGATGACTTTTATTTTCTAATGTTTTTTTTTTTGTTGTTATCTTTAATGGAAATTAGAATCAAATACAATTGTGAGTTTTACAATGTCACATTCTCAAACAAACTACAAAACAAACTTTTAAACTTTTAAAACTCTTTTAAATTTTATTTTTTCACAATAAATGTGAAAATCACAATCATATTTTATATCACAATAAATCTATATTTAAAGATAAAATGGAAGCAATGAGTTAGTATTCCTATAGTAAGATGAATAATTCACGCTTTTTATACAAAATACTCATAAAATAAAGTAAAAATTTTGTTTAGTATGCAATAGTGTTTATAAAAAAATATTCCTTCTTTTATTACTCAATTTTAAAAGCCGAAAAATAACTTTTCATTATGACATGCCCAAAGTTGTGTTTAAGCAAATGATGTTGAACTTTTTTATAAAGCAAAAAATGGTTTTACTGTCAACATTATTTTTATTATGGCTGACTAATACATGTAAGTTAGTTTGATCTATCTATCTTTATATGGATATATATATATATATATATATATATATATATATATATATATATATATATATATATATATATATATATATATATATATATATATATATATATATATATATATATATATATATATATATATATATATATATACATATGCAGTGGTCGAAGTGGAGAAAAAAAAGTAACGGGATGGTATTCAGTAAATTAAAAATACGATCCCGCCTAATCATTGTTATATATAGAGATTTGTAAAAAGTGGCGTGTGTGTGTGTGTGTGTGTGTGTGTGTGTGTGTGTGTGTGTGTATGTGTGTGTGTGTGTGTGTAGAAAGAGAAAGCATAAAATTGTCAAGTAATAATTATAAAACTTTTACAATAACATTTTAATATATTTTACAATTTTGACGATTTAGGTAACACCTTTTCATGTTATAGTTGCTCTGCATATAAAAAATGGGATTGTAATCAAGTCCAATCGCTAAAATACTGCGATAAAGGGAAAGAACAATGTATAACAATTTCCTACGAGTACGAAATGTTTATTAATATAAATAAAACAACAATCAACACCATTTATAAAAAACATTGCGTAGATAAGTTTACGAGTTGCAAATCACATTGTCGTTTATTGGAGATAACCGGTGAAAAAAATTGCATGGTAAGACAATATTTTAACAATACATTTATATAATAACAATACTTTAACTATATTTATATGTTATAACAATATTGAATGAGTTTCGAAAATATTTCAACACAAAAATTTTATTTCGCAATTTAAAATATAACATTTAAACTACATATTGTTATATCGAGCAAAAACTTTTTTTAAATCACCATACTGGCTAGTTATATTCAAGTACTACAGTAGTGTAATGAGAAGTGAAAGTGAAAGTAAGTAGTGTGATGAGAATCGAGAATTTACTACTCTTATCATACTACTCTTTTAAAAAATAAGTTAAAGCGTTTTTTTTTTTATGTCATTTTCGAAACTATATTTTATATCAACTCAAAACTATATTTTATATCACATCTTAGAATATCATACACAGAGCCAGTTCAACCACTGGACACACTGAACACGTGCCGGGAGGTCACGGAGTTCAAGGGGCCAGAGCATTTAAGTGAATATTTGAGAGAGATATAATTTGAAAGAAAATTATAATCGTCCTCTATTCTTGACTTCCTCTCATGTCCCAGAGATTTTTAATCTTTGCATAACATACGCATACGACGCATACGACGCATAACAGTGCATACGACGTATTGCAAACTGGACGTTTTCTTTTTTTAACGACTGGAAAGAACTTTTGAGTTCAAACATATTGGTGAAAAAATAAATCAAAAATAATTGGGTACTTTATTTGTTGGTTATTCTCATAGAATTATCATTCCGCGGATCAGACAAAAAACTAGGATCGATACGCAACAGAAACTTTATTGAATGTATTGAGCTATTAGTAAAATTTGATTCTTTCCTCGCCCAACATTTAAAACTCATGCGAACAATGCAAAGGAGAAGATTGTATCTCATACTTATCTAAAAAGATTTGCAAAGAACTCATTCACTTAATAGCCACCGAGGTTATGGAATTTATAGGTAATATGATTATCATTAAGTAACATTCATCGTTGATTTTACTCCTAATGTACAAAACGAAAAACAAGTTGAGCGACTCTTAGCATTTATTCCTATGCAGAATCATTTTGCAACTTCGAAAACGTTTTGAAAAAGTTAGATTAGTATAAAAAAGTTAGATTTGAAAAAGTCAGATTGCTAGTTTGAAAACGTTTTGAAAAAGTTAGATTAGTATGCAAAGGCCTTTGGACTTTTAACCAAAATGAAACAACTTTAGACAGCTATTTTAATAATCATTTGAAACAGAATCATGGAATGGTTAACAAAGTTAACAAGAAACTGTAGTTCTTAAAGCTTAATTTATGTATGGTTGAAGAACTTTACAACTCTTGAGCATTACATGCAGCAAGTTCGCTCTAATTTCGAGCAATTAAAAAAGCTAGCCGTATCTTTGGTCAATAGGGATGAATAGGTCTATTTTCATAGGCTCCCAAGAGTACACAAGAGGCATTACGATGATGAAATTAAGAGTGGGGAAACTATAGTGTTTTCTGGGCGGTTTTAAATGAGGGACGTTAATGAGGTCACGGACAAACTAATGAGTTATATAAATGAAAAAAAGAAAATCTATTCTGAATTGAACTCTCTGTTTGGTTTTCTTGTAAATCTCCGCAGCATGGATATCTTGGGGATTACTTGCAGTGCACAACAACTTGTTGACCGATATCCTACTGATCTAAACTTTTACTTATTGAACAAATGTCTTCTTTTTGTAACATTTTTCAGTAACCTCTTTTAGATTAATTTTTTTTTCAAAAAATAAACCGGGTATTGCCTTCCATTCACCTAAAATCGGCATTTGCAAGCATAAAATGCAGACGAAAGATATTTTAAAGCCTGTGCTAATCGCAAAGTATTTTTAATAATAAATAACTTGAGAAGCTTGTTTAAATACAAAATAAAATACATTATAAAGCAACAATTACAAAAATTTTTATTTTAAACCGCTGTTAAATTTGAATGTTAGGAGGCTAACAGGGGCCAGAAAGCTTAAAGTGCCGGGAGGCCACAAAGTACTTAACCCGGCCCATACAATCATACGACCATACGATCATACAATGTATGATATTCTAAGATTTGAATATGACATAAAAAAAAACACTTAGATTTATTTAGTAAAAGAGTAGTATGTATAATATATATGTATGATATATATGTATGAAAAAAAAATTTATATATATATATATATATATATATATATATATATATATATATATATATATATATATATATATATATATATATATATATATATATATATATATATATATATTATCATACATATACATTTAGATACATGGTCACTAGAATTAAATACAGTAAGTTAAATACAGCTAGTTGGTAAAATTTTTAATTTTTTTTTAGGCAACCTGTTGTAATACATCGGGCTGTAATAAAGATGGCTATAAAAATTCATCGGTTTCACTTTTAAACAACGTATTTAGCACAACTTTATCTTATGTAACTTTTTTAGTTTTTATCTTAATATTGATTTGATAACATTTCTCACTTTTTCATTTTTTTTAATTTTTATTTGTTGAAAAGTTTTGAATAAATTCCTTTTTTTAAATTAAACTTTGATGCAAAACATGATTTAAAAATTTAGTGAATAAAATGATACTATCCAATCAAAATCTCAAATCAAAACCTCAAAATCCAATCAAAATCTACTACAATTTTCAGTATTTTTACAAATAATTGCATTTTGTAATGTTTCTTAGATAAATAACAAAATTAAAAATTAAAAAAAACTAGTTATGGTTTTCTCCAAGTTTTGCTTAAAAAATTAGGAACATTAATAGCTTATAACTTAGTACTTAGTTCTTATAGAAAATAATATATAACAAACAATACTATAATGTTTGTTTACTAACCTAGTTGACTGTTTGTCTACAATTAGGTTTTAACGAAATCAAGACATATTGTTAACTAGGCACATTAGAACATAGTTAACGTACGGGTCTCGTATGGGTTATTAATTGGTACCAATTTATATATTCCAACAGATTAATATATAACTTATAAATATTTTTATGTAATATAAAAATGTTTATTCATAATAATATATTATATATATTCATATATTATTATAAGAAATCTAAATAAAATAAATTTATAATAATTGTTATAAAATAAATCAGATACAGATTCTCTATCTGATTTCCTCTCATTAGCAGTTCAAGAACTCTCGTTATCAAATATATCAAATATACAAGGCACAGTAGGAACCAGAACCATGCCGTGGCATGGAGCAGCCACCCCAGGCGCCTGAGCTACGAAGGCGCCTTTCAAATATTTCACGTTTGTTCATTTACGTCTAAGAATATTATTTTTCTGATATGTAAACAAATCTTTATGTTTTTTCCTTTTTTTTTTTTTATTGATAATAAAGTGTAGTGTAATGAATAATGATATTTTCATAACAAAAAAGCGCCTATTATTTATTTATTATTATTATTGTTTGTGTAATTAGCGAAAAAAGTTCGAACCTGAACGTTGAAATTTGGCGTAAAGTTCGAACGTTCGAACTTAAACATGTTCGAGCTAGCAGCCCTAGTTATAACAGTATTTGTAGTTTATAATAGGTTTTAACAAATTTAATTAAATCATAATAATTAAAAACGATGTTTGGAAATAAAAAGAAAAAGTCTGGTTGGGAAAATAAAAAAACAAAGAAGGCCCAGGGTACGATAATGGTGCGAACATGAAAGGAAAAAGATCGGGTGTTCAAAGCAGAATATTACAATTAAATCCACGTTCAGTTTTTGTTCCTTGTGCATGTCATTCCCTCAATTTAGTTGTTAACGATGCAGCTTCTGCTTCAGGTGAAGTAGCTAGCTTTTTTCTTATTATTCAGCAAATTTATGTATTTTTTTCGTCATCTCCTAGTCGGTGGGACATTTTAAAGCAGCATGTGAAAATTACCTTAAAACCAGTTTGTTCTACTAGATGGGAAAGTAGAATTTCTTCTATTATTCCTTTGAGATTTCAACTTGAACATATTTATGATGCTTTAGCCAATATCCATTTAGATGAAAATCGGGACAATCAAACGAAATTAGCAAAAAAAGTTTCTTGTTTTAAATTTATTTATAGCCTGATTGTGTGGTACGACATTTATTAAAAGTAAATATTTTATAAAAAATAATGCAGTCTCCAAATTTAAATTTATTAAATTACATTAATGCTTTGAAAGAAGTTTTGGTTTTTTTAAACAATTACCGTCAGGATGAAACCTTTGTAAAAGTCGTTGATGAAGCAAAGAAAGTAGCCGAAATTCTTATGATTGATAGTAAATTCCCAGATGTTTCAACGATTCGAATTCGTAAAAAGAAAAACGAGGCGAGTAAATTTTAAATAAAAATGCTCTTTCAAATAAGATAATATAATAAAATAAAAAAAATTTGTAAATGTATCCTAATATAAAAATTGAATATAAAAACGATGAATCAAGGGTTTTTATTTTTCTTGCCATTAATGCCAACTCAACGATTTATTCCTGGCGGCCTTTCATTAACGTGTGCATTTGCCCAATTTTTGAGAGAATGGTACACTCCACAGAAAATATTTCAAGAATAGTTGTAGAACTCTCGAAGTTCAATAAATTTTATTAGAAATATTTTTCTCTAAAGTGCACTGTTATTCCAAAAATCAAGCAAATACAACCGCGTTAATTGAAGGCTACCTGTATTTTACTTTAGAAAAATTTGAATATGTTGGTCACCTAAAAAATTAATCTACCCATAAAAGGCGCCTTATAAGTATGTCTGCTCCAGGCGCCAAAATACCACCGCACGGCGCTTGTAGGAACCTTGAGTTCTTTACTGCAGTGGCAATTGTCCGATGCGTACTTGTTGTAATGTCATATAGTTTAAATTTGCTCTCGTCTCTAAAGCTTCAGTTTTTTATTTTCGCATTTCTCGTTTGAATAAAAAACTAAAATAGCTCTAGTCATTATGTTTAACCTTAAGTGCCCAGCTTAATTTTTTAACCAGCTTCATATATCAGTTTTAAAACCCGCGTATGTGATATCACTGAAATCAGTAACTTCAACCAAGTTATTTCAATGTTTGCAGAAAACTTTTTTTGATATTTCCGATACAGTAGGATCTTTTGTATGATTATTTGGTTTCTGCTCATGCTTTACAAGCAAATAGTATTTCATAACATTCTTATAAGTTATTAATAACGTATTAGTATGTTGTTTTCGTTGTACAGTGTACAATTTACACGCTCGTAGCAAACGTAATAAATATTAAGCACGGTTTTAAGCAAAATTTTTAAAAAACGTTGTTATATTTAAATCTGAACATATTTGCTAATTTTTAAATTAATAATCATAGAAAATAATCTTGTTTTTCCGATAACCATGAACAAAATTTTGCTTTTCCAATAAACATGAACAGTATTAAAAAGACAACCAAGTAAAAAATACAAATTTCCAGTAAATATTTTATTTTGCAGACTTAAATTAAACATTGTAATGAAAAGTTCTCCAATTCGATTTCTTTTTGCTACTTTAATTTTTAATAAAAAATGTTTTTCATTAAATTGAAGATTAGAATAATACTTTCGATTTGCAATGAGTGAGATCTTCTGAACTTTCAAATATAATATTTTCTGCCCACTGGGATATAATAGTTGAAAAAAATCATTTACAATCAAAATACTTTCATAAACAATTAATTACTCATAATATAATTATTTAAATAATT